GCCTTAGGTCCAGTCGATCAAGAAGAAGATGACCACATTCATTTGTGGTGCCATCGGAGGTGATCCTGTTGTCGACCCATTCTTCGTATAAGTCCGTCTACGTCTGCTTATAGTAACCTTTTCACATTAACTTCTTTGCAGCATGCATGTTGCTATGGGGCTGCTTGATGTGGTGTGGTCAGGCGCGTCGACTTATGATGTGGCCGATCTACGACCAGCACACTATTCGATGAACATCGCCTCTCACCACTTCGACACCATGCTCTCTATTATCAAGGAGGTCTTTATATATCACATCCCAAGATGTCAGTGCTGCTGTCAGATTTTGACGGTGGAGCTGGAGCTTAACAAGGCGGATGTGAGAGAGGTCCTCAAGGCTCTGCAACCTGTTAGAGGGGATATTATCAACGGATGTTGGTGTCTCTGTGCGCTGCACCTCTTTCACTATCATTGTTGCAGCCATCATTGATCTGGCTGTATGATTCACAGGCGAACAAGCAGGGGTTGTGGCCCCTCTCAGTCGTTCGAGAGGCAGCGTTAATTTGCCATATCGATATTATATTCCCAACCGCATCGTTGTAGCTTTACTCTGCGTATCGTTATTATAATGTGTTCTATCTTCTTGACCTAGCCATTGTACATACTAAGTGCGCATGTCGTTAAGTTCAACTGGTGTCGGAAGTTGCGGTCATCAAGTCGTATCATTTCTCACGTTATAAAGCTTAAGGCAGATAAGTGGCATCGCATAGTGCTGGTGTAGTTACCGTCCGATCGGAGATAGCGCGAAAATCCACTGAAGACGGTCTCGACCAAATGTTCCTCAGGCTAGGTGAGCATGTGAGGTTAGTTCCTTCGCTGTGCGGATTCAGTATCTTTCAGGTGAGGCTGACGGCATAGCACGAGTTGTGAATTCTCTGTTCTCGATCCTCGGCACTGACGCACGAATTAAACGGTTTTTCAAAGCAGAGAAGCGAGAGCAGTTGAAGCAAGGAGTTACGGTCTTCTTAGTCGACAGGTTCGGTGGACCTAAGGATTACGAAGGTGCATCAGCTGCATGTCTCTCGGACCAGCTCCAGTTGAATCCCGGCAGGTCGTGATCTCGCAGTGGCTCATGAAGGGCTCGGCATATCTGACTATCATTTTGATGCCTTCGTGTCCGACTTCCTAAGGTGAGAGCTCGTAGGATGACCCAGTATGTATCTGTACTTGTGCCGTTCGTAGAGCTCTGAGCGGCAGTGGTGTGGAAGACACTATTGTTGATGAGCTTGTTGTGACTTTGGAGCCTTTGCGCTCAGAGGTGAGATGGAAGCGCTTGGTGGTCATGACTAGCGTCTTTCCAGGTGCTCGGTCGTAGAGATGAAATTAACGCGGTGGTGGTGAAGAATGGTCACACGCTGTTCGAAAGGCTTGGGGGAGATGAACAATTGGAGACTTTAACTGACGTCT